AACACACACACACACACACACACACACACACACACACACACACACACACACACACACACACACACACACACACACACACACATTAAAACCTTAGCACAATAACAGTATGTCCAGGGATCCCGTGTGTTGCCTCTAGCTGAGAGTCTTGTTTGTGAGGGGTAGAGAAAACAGTGAAAGTACAGCGGTCTTCTGCTCCTGAATGTGTGGACGGCTCTTTACAAAAACAGGTTTCAGTCTTCTGCACCATTTTCTCTTCTTCCTTTTCCTCCAATATACTCTTCCGGCTTATTTATTCTGCTTTGGTCACAACATGTCTTTCAAATCGAAGCAGTGAGTTTAAAATACCGTCCACGTTAGCCTCGTCGTTAGCCTTTGTTGCAGTTACATCTAAATAAAATCCAATAGTAACACTAATACAGCCAATTGTGCTCATTTAAAAGGAGCTGTAAACCGTTAATTTGTATCTGGTTTCACTTGTTAACAAACTGCTACAACTATGCAACAAAACAAAAGACTCATTAAGGCTGGTGTGCCTACAAGCCTGGCATCAATGCATCAACAGTCTTAAGAGTACTGTATCTGGAGGTTTTCCTCTTATTCCCACTCCCTTAACATTGCAGCATATTCAAATCCAATCCTAGCATGTGGAAATATTACCAAGCAGACATCAGATATTCTGATCATTCTCTGAAATCAAGGCTTCCCTGATGACTTCTTCGGATATCCTGAAACCTGAAACTGTATGAACTTTTACAGCAGTTGCAAAAATACTTGAAGTGGTTCAGGACAGAGTATTATGCTCATTTTCTGGTTCAAATGTGTATGTTGTGCCTCTACTGTCTCCATGTTTTAATGTTCAAAAAGTTCTTTATTTTTCTCACACTGCCTGTGCTGCAGCACCTCTTTTCACCCTCTGTCTGAAACCAGAGCCCATTCTGCTCTTATTGGTTAGCTGGTAGGCTCTGTTGTGATTGGTCAACCGCTTAGAGATGTCCCGCCCCTTAGTTTATCACTTACAATGTGTTGGAGCGCTAGCCAATGGAAGCACGAGTTTTGCGTAGTGATGTCACTATATGGAGGAAGTAAACAAAGGAGTCCAATGGAGGCGTTTCAGGCAGGGGGGGGGGGGGAGAGGAACTTTGAGACTTTTGCATTTTCAGTGCATATCCACCACCTGTATGTGTGAGCATGTAAAGACAAGGTTCAAGGTTCTTTATTGTCAAACTAACATAGCTACAGAGTAATTATGTCGTTGAAAATCTTAGGTCACAGGCTTCTCCAACAATGCAATACACACATGCAACTTTATTTTATGTTGATTTCTCTAAAGCCGTCAGTTTGTATTTATTAGCCGCAGTCCAAAGGGAGGGTTTCTGACTCACATGGCACAGTGGTGGATTCCATGGTTCTTGAGGTAATAAAGACACTGGAAGGGTTGTTATTCCCCGCCTCCGCTCTGTGATTGCAGCAATTTCACCCATTACGAAGAGCCTGTGCTGATAAAAGTAGGAAGCAGCATGGTGGACTTGCTTTAACTTAGCATTTTTGGAATTTCATTCATTTGGTCTTTATCTTCATCTGTCTTAAATTCTGTCTTCATTTCTATGAATATTTCCGTCCCTTGTGACTCACAGGCTGAAGACGCAC